CACACACACACACAATAAATAAATGTAATAAATAAAAATAAATAAATATTAAAAAAAACACTAAAAAAAAAGAAAGTGAGTTTAACCAGAGACTTCAAGGACTATTAGCGTTGGCCAATACAGGGCTGGTGTGTGTGGGTCAATGGTGGACAGGAGGACCTGGCTTTCATCCCCAGCAAAAGAGGGCATGAGGGAAGGGCAGTGTTCTGGGAGAATATTGGGACAGAGAACAAAAGCAAACCGGATGATGAGTGGGTGGTGGGTGGCAGAAAGGACGTAAAGCCAATGAGATTCAACGAGGGCTGGTGTGAAGATGCCCACCTGTAATCCCAGAATGCTGAGGCCTGAGGCAGGAGGATTGCTGTGAGTTGGAGGTTAACCACCTGGCCTACAAAATGAGTTCAAGGCCAGCCTGAATCTCATAATGAGACTGTCTCGAAAAGAAAAAAAAAAAAAAATATATATATATATATATATCTTCACTGAAGACTTTGTCCTTAAGCCTTGTGAAGCTTGACTAAAAGTTTAGGTTTTACTTGTTGAAGGTGCCAGTGTAACACTGTGATACAATACTTCAGTAGCATTCACAAGGCCCTCCCTGGGCTTGATCTCCAGTACCACAAAAACAAAGGAAGAAAAGTCTTCTTGGAAAACCATTGGAGGAGATTTGATCTCAGTGTACAAAGATAGTGCATGTATGTAGGGAGATACTGGGGATTAAACTCAAGGCCTTTGCACTGAGCTATTTGCTGGAATTTGTAATGTTTTTTCCTCAGCCTCCCAGAATGCTGAGATTATGTGTGTGAGCCACTATGTATGGTTTAGATCTTTTTTTTTTTTTTTTTTTTTCAGATTTGTTTTTTTTTTTTTTTTTCAGAACCAGAGATCAAACTTGGGCCCTTGCACTTGCCAGGCAAGCGCTTATTCTACTGAGCTATCTCCCTGCCTCCCCCTACCTTTTTTTTGAGACAGGATCTCACTATGCAGTTCAGGTTGGCCTTCTGCTGACTTTTGTAGCCCCCCCAGGCTGGTCTTGAACTCACAGAGATCCTCCTGGCTCAACCGCTGGAGTGCTGGGATTACAGGTGTGTGCTGCCATGCCCGATTATGGGGCTGCACAGTGTGGGTGCCTGCATCCAGGGCCGAGACGGCGTGCTTGGGTATCCCAGGCCAAGACCACATACATGTGGGGCGAGATATCAAACTTGGGTCCTTGTGGGGCCAGGTATTGAACTTGGGTCCTCGTGCTTGCCAGGTATGTGTTTACGCCTCTGAGCTATCTCTCTGGCATATAGATAGATAGATAGATAGATAGATAGATAGATAGATAGATAGATATTCCATTCCTAGGGGCTGGCCAAATAGCTCAGACACAGGAGCCAAGAGTTCAATCCCCTGGCCTGTCGTGCTGGCCCCACCTGCAGGGCGTGCTGAGACAGTGATTGAGACTGGACATGGCGGCATGTACCTGTAATCCCAGCACTTGGGAGACTGTAAACAGGAGATTACTACGAGTCTGATCTGTGTAGTGAGACACTGTAGACCCTGTACACACTGTACACCCTGTCCTAAATACAAAAAAAAAAAATCTATTCCTAGGTGCTATGGAAAGGATCATCTACCCCAGGTTCGTATATTGAAGTGCTACTCCCAAACCTACATAACTATGTTGCACCTAGGGCCTTAAGGGAGTGATTAAGGCTAAACCATGCTGTAAGATTCCAGGTAGAAAAAAAAAAAGATTCCAGGTATATCTATTCCAACAGGTTCCTTTAGAAGAAGGGACACCAGCCAGGTGTGGTGGTATACACATATACTTCCAGCAACTCAGGAGGCTGAGGCAGGAGGGTCATTGCGACCAGCCTGAGGACCAGGGAGATAGCTCAGTAGAATAGGCACTTGCCTATCAAGTTCAGGGTCCTGAGTTCAATCTCCTGTACTGCAAATCTATCTTTTTTTTTTTTTTTTTTTTTTTTTTTTTTT